CATTCAATCGGACTTCATTCCCTTTGCTTGTGTTTAATCCAATTACATTTATGTAGTATGAAAACAGTACACTCAGGAAGTACACTCAGGTTTTGGCTGAAGCTATTTGTGTCTGTCTATTTAGCAGTATAACTGAAGTACAAGGTTTTTTTTTCTTTTTTTAGTTTTTGTGTGTGCGTGTGTGTACAGAAAAATAAACAGTCCAACCAAAATGAAAGTGGTCCCCTCCCCCCCCAAGTGAAGGCCACACATTGAATATTTTGTTTTCGTTGTACACCTCAATCATTTCCACATAATATGCACATTAAGTTACATTTGCATGCAATTCACAACCAAGATATCTATTGTAGTTTCACATTATACAGATGCATGTGTACTCGAATGTTACAATGGGCCACAGGTGTACACTGTACAGTATGTAAACTGAATTTGGAATGCTTTTTAATGCATTAATAGCTAACCAGCAAACACTAAAGGTCAACTTGCATGTATGCGTGTACATGTAATGTAAGTGTACATGTAATGTAAGTGCCTGTAAAGTACATGTATTAGTGGTGAAGTAGAAACAAATCTATCCTCACTGGATTAAGGAGTTAAGTAACAGTGCAAACTAACTACCCAAACCCTGCCATACTCCAACAGCAGGTTTTGTGAGGTTTTGGCAGGTTTGGTACCTTACCCGAGGAACTTGTTGAATTTTGTGAGACTTGGGATGAAAGGCCCAGGGAGATGGTGTTGGATTCTGTGTGAGTTGGGACGTACAGGGTTCATTGTGTGCAGTGTTTGGCTTGCTGTACCAATTGTTGGACTATGCTTGATTTTGTCAGGTTTGGTACTGTACCTGATGAACTTGAACTTGTTGAATTTTATGAGACTTGGGATGAAAGGCCCAGGGAAATGGTGCTGGATTCTGTGTGAGTTGGGACACACAAGGGTCACTATGTGCAGTGTCTGGCTTGCTGTACCAATTGTTGGACTATGTTTGATTTTGTCAGGTTTGGTACTGTTCAGTGCAAGTCAGGTGACTTGCACTGAACAGTACCAAACCTATACTGCATAGACCCATCCATACCATATCACTCACACTCCAACGGGCTCATTCTGTTGGAGTTTATCAGGTTTGGCTGTTTGGTACAGTAAGCTGCATGTACAAGTACATAGACAAGTACATGAACCTGTTGGATTTTGTGAGGTTCAGTATGCTTTCTACTGCAGGAGCCTAGGGGGTTAGGGTTAAGGTACATGTATGTCACATAGATGTGCATGTACCTACATGCATATATGTACATGTACATGTACATATATGTATACAACCAGCGCATGCAATATGTGCATGTCAATTAGGCATGTTGGAGTACTGTACCCCAGTGAAGCAGTGTGGTGTAATACGGGCGATTGACAATAGAGCGCCTCCAAGAGTTAGCAACGCGCTGGCCAATCACAATGCGCGAAATCTGTCGACCCAATGCGTGTTTGGAAAGGGTCGACAAATTTCATGCATTATGATTGGCCAACGCATTGCAAACTCTTGGAGGCGCACTATTGCAAATCGCCCGTATTATACCATAAACATAAGAATACCTACAGATGTGTATCACTAGATTTTTTGCCCTGTAACAGCTGGTAATTGCTGTTTACTTCATACTCTGACTGCATGCAGCCCAGGTTGATAACTGTTACAGAAGGATACCACTTATCCAGTGCCCCCTTCACGTCCTCACCGGCCAAAAATCCATTTACTGCATGGATTTTACACTTCAGAAACCCTGTCTCAGCATTTTCACCTGAGCTCCATGTATCATTACTCATGAAGAATGCTTGAATATGTTAACCATTTTCTTATTGTGTCCATTTTTTTTCCAACCATATTCTGCCCATTTTCATCACGATGTTAAAGCGAATGATGCATCCAGAAAAAGATCTCAATTTTTTTTATGCAAACTAAAATGAAATAAGGGTAATTCCAGAAAA